CATTAGTGATGTACAACATATTGTTTCACAGGAAGAACATATACTCACCATCTGATTCAGAAGCTGCCCTGAAGATCAGATGACTGCTTGGAAGAGGCTGTGTGATGGAACCTACATTCTCTCCCTTCGGACCCTAGAATTAATTATGAACAAGAGACAGTGAGGAAGCCTCCTTGAGTACCTTCTCTGCATTTTTCCATTTACATTTTTTTTTGCTTTTGTTTTCAAATGCTGCTCTTTTCATTGAATATTCACAAACTAAGCAATTACCCTGAGATTTTGGGTTAGCACGAAGTTTAAAACTAATTAGCGTCTATCAACATAAAATAAATAAAAGCAGACCAACAGTATGGTACACGGGCTGCACCTGCTACCGTTTTCTACTTACTTGTGGATAACAAAGCACGGTCATTACAGCTCAAGATCCTGGCACCACTACTATGAACCAAAAACTGGGGGGGAAAGGGGGGGGACTCAACTCAGGGTATGACTATGCCACAAGGCAAAACCTAGTTGATAGCTGGTTTGATAATCCTAAAACTGAGGGTGAGTTAGGTTTAAAAAATCATTAGCAGAAGTAGTTGGATGGCTTTGACAATTCCTTCTTTTGTTTAATAGGATTAGACCTTCATAGTACAGAATAACACAAACAATGCCCAGAATTTCCATCATATTAACTTGTGACGAGTACGGGATAAAAATGATTTCAAAGTGTAAATTCTTCACAGAATTTCTCTGCAGTTCTGAAATTGTATTCGCCATGCACCTCAATTCACATTCCACGTCCACATCCATCATGAAAAAAACCCTCAGCAACTTCCAGCAAAAAAACGAAGGTGACTCTCCAGGTGCATACAGAAAATCAGATTTACCTGACTGTAGGTGACAGTTTCATGTATTTCACACGACTGCTCTGTTTTTCACATATCCATGTGGACTGTCAACAGAGTTCCCGTGTGAGAAACTCAGTTTCCAGATGTGCAGAGGCTTCCGTCGCTATACCCTTCTCATGCCCTGAAATGGCCCCAGGAGCTGTAGTCTGTTGCCACTGGTCCATGTAAGTTTCCTCAGCATGGCCATTTCAGCTTGGGGGGAAATGGCGGCCCGGGGGGGGAGCCAATGTCCTCACTTCCCAAGTGACATGGTCCTGATCCAAATCAGGCCTCTATGTGCTTGGGAATTAAGTCCCCAGCATCGAACTCCAAACTCACTTCTGATCCAAAGCCCTCAAGGCAGCCACAAGGACTTTCTAATGCGTGAATTAACCCACAGGCATCATAAGGCAACTCAAAATTATGTAGAGGAGACTCTGAAGCTGAGAGAGTAGCATATCTAAGCCAGCCTACTGAGTTATAGTACAGAAGAGAGATTGGGAACTTCTTGTTTCACCACTCAGTACACTACATTAGTGACAACTGCTGAATCATTCTTGTGTTTAACAAATAAATGAGATCATTTCTAATAGAAGAAAAAGAGAAGAGATTGGATTTATACCCCGCCCGTCACTTGGAGTCTCAGAGCGGCTTACAAACTCCTTTCCCTTCCCCTCCCCACAACAGACACCCTGTGAGGTGGGTGGGGCTGAGAGAACTCTAACACAAACTGCTCTTTTTCAAGGACAGCTGTGCCAGAGCTTGTGACTGACCCAAGGTCACATCAGCAGGTGCAAGTGGAGGAGTGGGGAATCAAACACAGTTCTCCCAGATTAGAGTCCGCACACTTAACCACTACACCAAACCACTACACTACATTGCTTCCTATACAGAAATGAGAGAGATTTATCATATATCCGTCCTCCAAGGAGTTCAGATTCCATTTTAACCTCCCAAAAATCCTGTGAAGTTGCTTAGGCTGAGAGAAAGAGAGACTGGGCAAAGGTCACTCATGGCTGAATGGAATTCAAACTGGTCTCCCCACTGCTCGTCTAACACCCCCCTGTCCAAGTCTCAACTCTACTATCTCTACGCCAGATCTCCTAATTTTTTTAAATGTTAACATCTCGCATCAATATTTGTTCGATGCTTCCCTGTAGCTAATTTAAAAAAACAAAAACAAATAATAATTTGCATCAAGACTGCATCAAGCATTTCCCATTGCTCAGCTTTCAGAGGAAAGCTAGTGAAAAGGGGGGGGGGGAACCCCCCCAAAGAGTGCTACCAGAACATAATAATGTCAACTGTACTATCGAGAGCTGCTCAGCTGAGTGATGACAGTCTCAGCTTTGCTGATTTTGTCCATTATGTCTCCATGGAGACTGTTTTAGTTTTGTTGTGAAAGAGAAAAGATGTATTTACCTGGCCTCTTCCAGTAATTTAAATGTTAACATCTCGCATCAATATTTTTTTGATACTTCCCTGTAGCTAATTTAAAAAAAAGCAAAAACAAATATTAATTTGCATCAAGACTGCATCAAGCACTTCCCATTGCTCAGCTTTCAGAGGAAAGCTAGTGAAAAGGGGGGGAACCCCCCACAGAGTGCTACCAGAACATAATAATGTCAACTGTACTATCGAGAGCAGTGTTCCCTCTAAGCTGAGTTAGTGTGAGCTAGCTCACAGTTTTTTAGCCTCCGACTCACACATTTTCCTCTTAGCTCAGGAAGGATGGCTCCAGAGCAAACTAATTTCTGCAGTAGCCAAATCACTCACTCAGAGTTTTAATGCTAGCAGCTCACAATGTAGAATTTTTGCTCACAAGACTCCACAGCTTAGAGGGAATGTTGATCGAGAGCTGTTCAGCTGAGTGATGAGATTCTCAGCTTTGCTGATTTTGTCCATTGTGTCTCCATGGAGACTGTTTTAGTTTTGTTGTGAAAGAGAAAAGATGTATTCACCTGGCCTCTTCCAGTAAGGGCGAGTAAATAATGTACTCATTCCCTACTGGATCACAGCCTCCTGGTGATTAAGAACTGGGTCAGGAAAATGCGTTGCCTCAGCAGTTCATGCGGTCAGATCATCTCCATATCAACACTGTCTACTACATTCTTTTATTTTCCCCTTCACTTTTCTATTTCTGAACAGCAAAAGGTCCCATTGTGCCATGAATACTGTGTCGTGAAGACTGATATACAATAAACAGAGTAGTAAATATAGACAGAAAGTATGCATTCAAACCCCCTCTATCTATAGTACATTTGTTATGAGGATAAAATGGGTTAGCCCCTTTTACCTTGCTCTGTCCCTATATCCCTGCATTGGCCATAAGTGCAGTAATACTACACTAGTATACCTCACTGGCTAGAAATGATATTACATGTACTATCCAACAGGTGTCCATGGCATTCATGAAATCTCATTCTATAAAGCAATTAGAATGGCAACAGACGTATAAGTCCCCTTCACCCAATTAGCAACAAAATCTGACCAGAAAAGAAATAGTTTCCAAGCAGATGGGATGGAGGGAGGGCTTGGACTTGTCCTTCCCCCACTACAAGTATGACATTCTTTTGGAGTAAGTCACCAGGATCTTGTAGAAATGACTGCATTAGCACAGTGCACAATGTATTACAAGTCCTGCCAGTTTCTAAATTTTGACAGAATTTATTATAGTTATCTGTGATGGACCCTCAATGCCTAACAGGCTGTTCAAATGGAATTCTGTGGAGAGAGTCAGTTAATGAATGACAGTTGGGAACTGACAGTTGAAGAGACAATTAAGCACTGACTGTGAATTGGGAAGGAGGCAAAAGGAGTGAGAGGATCAGAAAGGATCCCCATTCAAGCCAAAAAGGGAAATTGCTGCTAGTCAAGAGAAGTAATCCTGCACAGTGAAAAGGGAGATGGCTCTTAAAAGAGGAGTGATCCCTGGTCTGTGTATATAGAAGGATGCCTTCTAGACCTTAAGAGTCAGTGAAACTCAGAAACCAATGCTTGAGTGTTTAAGCAGAAACTGAAAAGAAAGCCTCTCTCCTCAAAGTTTTAAAAGACCTTTTTGAATAGCAGAAACACTTACTTGTTGGCAACAAATTACCTGGAGTTAGTGAGATTACAAAGTTACCTCAGTTTTATCATCAGTTCACCTCATACACCCTACTCCTCATTCCACCTAACCTTTTCTCCTCTAAGTCAAGTAAAACATTTTGCTTATTTTGAACTTTCAAAAGCCTCTCGTGCGCCATTTCAGAAGTTGAATATAAGAAGATTATTGTGTCTCTTCCCTCAGTACGTACACATACACACACACACACATATATATGCATATGCAACTGGGTGCGACAGCCATAAACAAACAAATAAAAAGAAAATAGATATAGGGGCCGCTCAGCGAGAAAGAAGGGAAAATCCTGTGTGTGAGGGAAGAGAGAGGGCAAGATCATCATATTATCACTAAAACAGTTTCCTCAAGGAAACAGTGAAAGCACGGAATCCTCATTTAAGAAAATATCAAATATTTAGGACAATTCATTTGAACTTCTTTGGCACTTTCCCAGCACTAAAACAGCTTCCTCAAGGAAACAATGAAAGCATTTAATCCTTATTTAAGAAAATATTAAACATTTAGGACAATTCATTTGAACTTCTTTGGCACTTACCTAGCACTGTCTACGACCTTGGAGACATGCCAGAGAAACTAGCAGTAGCTAATTGATATGGCAAAGTTATTTAGATGCCCAATAAAATAATCATCATCCTATAAGTGAAGCCACCTTCTTGTGACCAATTTAAAATGATCAAATAAACCACCCAAATCAACAATTTCAGCAATTCTCATTTGCCACCTGTGCGATGCTGATAGATATTCACACCACCATCAGTATGTGTCAGGTCCCCAGTCAAATCACTCTCCACACACTTTAACAGTAAATGTTTTATTTAGAGATATGAGATGCTGTGGGTTCAAACTCTTTGTTAGGACTGAGGTGCCAAAGTGGGAAAGTCGATATAGGTAAAACCCCCAAAATTCCATGCACATAAATGTCAGCATTACTACGGCCCCAGCCATACACGCCAGAAAACTGGGGGGAAAGGCACAGCTAAAGTGCGGCTTTTTTGAGCCGCATCAAAAGAGAAGCGCGGCGGCGGGATCAGACAGATCCCCCCAGTCGCTGCGCAGGTCCTCCCCGGCATGATCAGATGCCAAGAGGAAGCCACGGACCGGAGAGCGAGGCAAGCCCGCTGCGCATGTGTGTGCATGCGCAGTTCGACAGGACCTCGCATGCTGCGGGAGAGACAGGCGTGCCGGTGATCAGACGGCCATCCCTGCAGCGGATTTTCCGGTAGGTACTAGTGTTTTCTAGGGTTTTTTTTTAATCCACATCTTCGGCCGGAAGACACGGATCAGGGATGGGTGCGCGCCGCTTCCCAGATGTTGCGGTGTGATTGCGCCCGCTTGATGCGCCCCCGATCCGTCCCTCTTGCGGATCTAATCCTCCCGTGTGACGGGGGCCTCATCTTATCAACAGTCCAGCCAAGACGGGAGAGATGCAGGATGGACAGAAATGTAAATTAACCAAATGAAGAATTTAGTTAATGAGAAAGTTCAAGACGTATTCAGGAGGTTTAAGCATGGATTATAGGTCCAGGGCCCTAACAACACCACAAGCACCCTCTCTGAATCTCAGAAATTAAATAAACACACTGGTTCCATAAGAATTGTCCATTACCTATATTTTATGGTTTGTGGTTTTGTGAGGAAGAACTATATAGAGCAACATGTCTAAAAACCATAGACATTAAAAAAACGTGATTTTTGCTGTATCCTCACCTCCTTATACCTCCCAGCTAGTGAAATATCTTCTTTTTTGAATTTCCTATTCCTCCTACTGAAGCAACAGCTAAGCTTCTATATCCACTCCCAGTACCATGTGGTTTTACTTTCCCTAGCTTCTTTTCTTGCTTGTCTTCAGACAAACTACCGGTAACCACTGCCAGCTCAGTTTCCAGTTTTGTCTTGCCTTTACCCTGTGTAGGAAGTCCCAAGTGATTGCTCTCTTGACGTTGAAAAGTTCTATTGATTCATTCACACACTCAAAATCTTAACCAACACTTCTTCCTCGGCCTTCAGACTATGAGGTATGCTTCCACAAAGGGAATTCTGCTAAATATTCCCCGAACTTCTCAGGTTTTTCTCCTCTTTAATGTTACTACTGTGCTCTTCCAGAATTAGATTGCGGAGAGTTATCAAAACCATTCTACAGGCTGTTATGAGCCTAATTTGTCCTTCAAGCGTTCACTTACTTTCACAGCCCAAATTGACTGGTCCAGAGGATGAAAAAGCTTGACACAGAAGCCGTCTAGCCATCTTTTTTGGAGGGTCTCTCAATCAGCTCACAAGAATGCAGCAAGATGGTTCCTACCCACTGTCCAATCTTGGGAGTTTTGTAGATCAGCAGCACTCCAGGTTTCAGTACACACCACAACTTCGTCCAGCTTTTCAAAGTTCCGCGAATCTTAGAAACAAGAGTGAAGGAAGGATTTTATCCGATTTCCCTCTCTACAAAAGCAAGGCACTCTCACCCAGGGAAACAGCTTTAATACCATTCTTGCTAACAGGATCAAGCTCTAAAACCAAGCTCAGTTATCCCAAATTTCTTGCTGCTTTGTTCTGCATATAGTAACCAGTGGATGAAACCAAAATTCTAACCTACCTCGTACAGTTACTGTGGGGATAAAATGGGGAACACCTAGACCGCTGAACAGATTATACAAGGCATATCCTTAGCTTTCCTATTAAAACATTCTACGTTTGCAATGCAAATAATGAATTTTCATAACTCTCATAATTACCATTTTAATGGCTTTCAGAAACCTTGGCTTTCATCAGCAATAATCTCTGCAGCAAGACACTCTAAAACAAAGAGGTCCTTTGGTATGTCAGGATCTATGCTATCTATGCTTAACAGTTTTCCAAGTTTCCTTGGCTCCAGAGGTCATTTTGGGGGAGATCGTGGGGGATCACAGTTCCCCCGGGTGAGGTACGGGGGGGGGACATGACGAAGCCCCACCCCCTGCTTCCGGCCGCCCCGCTTCCGGCCCCCTAGCTCTTTTTCTACGAAACAACCCCTGCTTGGCTCCAATTCTACCATGCACAAGTCTCAGTTTTAAAAACCAGTCCATTCTTCAGCTTTTTATTTCCAGTCGGAACTATTTTTAAGTAGCGAGAAACCGTTTGGAAGAAGGCTGCTGACGAATGCACATCTGGGTTTTCTTCCCATGTATTCTTAAGACGACATTTTGCACTAAATTACCTTCAGCCAATCTGCCATAATGACCACACTGGGATCTTTCAAAGCACTGAAGAGTTGCCTGGTGGCCCTTTTCTTCTCCTGCCTGTAATTCTTCTTTTGTACCTGTTGGAGATAAATAGCGCGGATGAACTTTTTTGTTTTGTTTTGTTTTCTACGGCACTTGCAAAAAGAAAGAACGACTGGGAAGCAACAAGAAGATGCGATTCATTAGAACACCAACACAAAATTGTAGGGAACGCACCAGCAGCGACAGCCAATGCGGCAGAAACAGCAGCTGTTATTTATGATAAAACCAATAGGAACCCACAAGGACTTCTGGGGGCCATCTCCCCCACTACTTTCTCTTTCTCTTCCTTGAAAGCCCCCACAGCTTCTCCTCTTCTCTTGCCTATTCATCTGCTTCCCATTCAACAGCCAATCTACATTTATCCCCTTCATCTTTAGTTACCCCTCCTTTCCTCCCCCT